CAATGACATATACATGCACATACCAGCCTATGCTAACATCCAGGCCCCAACGCCTGAGGTAAAGCCAGGTCTTCATAGCCTTCCAGAAGGCTAATGGGGTCAGGATCATCCAACTTTTGGAGGGGGGCACCAAGACAGAGAATACATGCTTCTAGGTCTCATCAGGTGATATTGTTTCACCGAAGTGACCTAAAGCATGCCCACCTAGCCAGATCTGTAGAACAAACAGAAACTATTGTAGGATAGGCAATCCTACAAACATTTCCTGAAAATAAATATTTAGGCTAGTACAATGAAAAGATGTGCCTTATTTGTGGTGGCTTCAGGGATTTACAAAAGATGACCCTTTATTATACATTTATTATACTAATCAGATTTGCATGCAGCCCCAGAGTTCCTCCAAAAGCTACTGCTGAATTATACTTTGATTGCATTATAGAAAAGGGAAATTATTAAAGGCAGTAAGCAACCATATTCAGTTTTCATTACATTTATTAATTGCCTGGATCTATCCCCATTTTAAAGGGCCATTTCACACATTATATTCAAATGCCAAGTATACCTTATTAGTTATCCTAAAGAAGCTGCAGAATCTGGATTTGCTAATTTTGAAGTTGACAGTGAACTTCTGTCTTGCAAATATATTGAACTAGTTGACTACACAAATACAAAAACATATTTTCAAATCCAAATAACAAAGCACATGATAAGGAACCAGAGTCCAAGAAATATGTGTTATACAGATGTGATGTTTAGTTACAACTCTTTATCTTAGGAACTAAGGTGTTTCTGGATCTTTTCAGATATACCTCTACACTGTCCTGGCTTTGGGGAACAAATTAGATCGGATGTATTGATTATCACAGATTCCAACAACAAATGCCAGTATATGTGGTACTTAAATGCTGACAAACATCTCCTGGACAATTTTGTCTATATTGTTTCAAAAAGTATCTCTGTCCCAGTGATGGAAGGTTGGGCGAAAGTCAAATATAAATGAACAGTAGTAACATAGTGGATGGATAAAAAAAGTTCTTAAGACACTTTCTAAAAACCAACACACAACAAAATGCAGTAGCCATGAGATGCTTGTCAAATGAAAATGCCAATAAACGAGTAAAAGTATCATTGAATTGGCTGTGGGAAATACACATAGCAGTCATGTAGGATTCAATAGTCATAATTTCATCTTCTATTGACCCAAGGTGCTGCTATTGATTCCCCGAGTCAACCTTCAGAATAATATACTTTAAAAGACTTTTGACAAATCTTCTGGGCTGCCCTATCTCCTTCCCCTGCCATTATCAGCTCCAATTTTGCTTTCTAAGTCAAGAGTCAATTTTCATAACTTATTGTTGCTGGGAGTTGTATCGAGGCAAAGTGTCCTTGGAGAAACTGTTCGTTTCAAATTTCAACCAGAAAACATCTTATGAGTTTCAGTTATTCTGAAACAAGATAAGCTTTCTGATAGGAAGGGCTCAAAATTAATCAGCCTATCAAACCGTGGGCATCTATGGAAACTGAAATCAATAGTCTTTTTTGGCTGTGTACTTCCCAGGAATATGATTCTACAGTATACTTTCTTTGAAAATGGAAGGTCCATTTTAGCTATAATTCCTGTGAAGTTCAAGCTGCAAGTGCCATTGCTTAAGGTAGCAAAAAAAATCCCTCCTCTCTTTTCAACCCCATGCACAAGAAGTATCAGCAAATTTACAGGAACTCCTCGGTCCCATGACTGTGAGAGGCGTTGCATATAAATTTAAATAAAGAGAGACAAGTCTTGCCTTAGAAGTCATGGGTGCTCCATCCCTGGAGGCTTTTAAGAAGACACTGGACAGTCATTTGTCTGAAATGGCATAGGGTTTCCTGCCTGAGCAGGAGGTAGGACTAGAAGACCTCCAATAACTCTGTTATTCTGTTAAATTCCGTATTTGGAGGATGTAGCAAGTTTCAGAAGAAATGTCTAAAGAATTCTAAACAGCCCAATGAGATCAGTGTGCTGACAGATTGCTTGGGGAAGGAGGAAGGACCCCAGTGGAGAGGAGTAATATAACAAAATACTTTGCACTTTGTATTCTGCCACAATTTGACACAGTTTGTCAAAGGTTGGTTTTCTCAAAGGCAGTATACGGTTAGAAGACTCTTGCATCATACGTTGCTTTGTTTTTCTTGAAAGCCATATAAGGCAATGTCTATGGGCAGGGGTAGGCAACCTTGGCTCTTTTATGACTCGTGGACTTCAACTCCCAGAATTCCTGAGCCTTCTGGGAGTTGAAGTCCACGAGTCATAAAAGAGCCAAGGTTGCTTACTCCTCGTCTAAAGAGACAAAATTATGGATCTTGTGAGAATTAACGTCCTGGAAACAACATCTACAGACCATTGCTTACCCTCTATGTCAGTGCCTCCAAATGAAAGAAATCCTCTGCATATATTTTTTCAATATTGTAGTCCCTTCCATTGCTAGACATATTTTTAAAGTTTTTCTAAAACATGTAGTCAAATTTTGCCTGCCTGCAATTTACTCACAACAGGATAGGCTAACTTGTAATTGCTTTGGGTCTCCAAAACTTTAAAACTGTTGTTAAACCAATCATTTTACAGTGTTCTTATTCAGTTTGCTAATATCAGAGAAATGTCCTGTGTTCTTCTTTTAAAACATCAGCCACTATATATTTAAGCTCTTGGATGGGGGCTGTTTAGGTTTGGTATTGATTTCAGTTGGTGAATATGGTCCAGACCAGTGTTTTCAAACACAGCAACTTTAAGATGTGTGGATTTCAACTCCCAGAATTCTCCAACCAGCATACTGGGGAATTCTGGGAGTTGAAGTTGCCAAGTTTGAAAAATACTGATTTAAAACTTTATCCCTTGTTCATAGTATTTGCTTAACTTCCTCAGACACTGCTCCTAAAAATATTACTTAAGACAGGTATATTTACCTTATATTTTTGTTCTATAATGAAGACAGAAACAAGGAATTAATTCAGTTTCTTCATCAGCCTATTTTTCTTTTTAGTACTATACTTTGCCAGTTGCTTACTTGTGATATTCTGAAATAAATGTTTACCAGTTGGTCTTAACATTATTAATATCACACTTCTCAACACCACGCACCTGCCTCATTATCTTACAGCATGTTTACATTCCTTTTAGTACTTCTTGTTTGGGAATAATTCTGTTTTCTGAAAGGACACTATCTTTTCTCCAAAAATGTTTCTGAAACTGCTTGTTAAGTATGCTTAATGTCTTTTCTGGCCCACAGAATATTTTTAGATGAATTTCTACTGTTACAGTTTTAAGCAATTCTTAAGTACTTCAGGAAGGCCTTGCTCCCTTTTTCTATCCCCTTATTAGCAAACCCTCTTTGCAGAAGTTGAAATCAAATGAAGTTATGTTGGACATAAATTTTTTCTTTTCCATAACTTTAAATAAAGAGGATTCTCCTTTAGAATATGAAAAGAGAATACTTATAATTGAATTTTCTTGATGTAGGTGCACAAGGAGCAAATACATTTTGTTGATTGTTCCTTAGTGAATTTTAATGTATAAGTCAGTGGCCCCCAATATTTTTGGCTTGGCAGCTGGGTGGGAGGGGGAGAAGGGATGGTTCTGTGTGAGTCGTAGATGTGTGAGCAAACATGCACAGCTCCATTTGCACAAATGGCTTGTGCAAGTGGAGTTGCGCTCACATGCTCACCTGCCACTTGTGTAGCTGGGTTCCAAATGAGCTGTGGCCCACTAGTGGGCCACAGCCCGGGGTTGGGGACCCCTAGCATAGGTGATCCTTTGGCACATCCTGTCAAGACATTCTTTCTCATTTGCCACAACTCTTGTTAAACTTAATAGAGGGTTATGTCTACAACATCCTGATTTTAATTTTTGATTCAGCCGATGTTCGAATGAGGTATTTATATGCAAAAAAGAGAGGGGCCTCTCAACTTCTGGGAAAAAGCAAAGGATGTATGTATTGTATATATCAAAGTTTCATCTATTCTATTGTACAATATGTAAAACCTTTCGCACCTTGTTCAGGCCATGTAAATTAGAAATATGCTTAAAATGATAGCATGGAGTTGCTCCTTTCATTCTCTGTTCAACCAAAGTGCTTCCTTTTCTGAAGAGACACATCAATAACCTCACTGTATCTGTCCATGTTTGGATTGCAACTGGAGTTCCCTTTGTAGTGTAGAATCTCCTTGTCTTCCTTTTTTCCCCCTTCCTACTGCAGATCCCTGCACTTTGTTAGAAACTCATGCAGGTGATTGGGGATTCTTGGGAATTGTGCGTTCAGTGGCCTCCAAACTTTATTTAAACTGAACCCTGATTTAAGATGTTCAGTGTGGTAATCCTTATAAACAGTCAAATAAGATAGGATGGTGATGTGATCCTCATATTGCTGGTACAGACTAAGGACAGCCAACAGGACTGGGTTAGAGTGAGACCTCAAATCTTGCAGCTACGTTTACTATATAGGTTCTTAACCTGATTGAACAAAGCAAGGGGCTACAGTCAGGGTTAAAAGTAAAACTGATGGAATCCATGGCTGCAACTCTGAAAATAAAGATGTAGAGCCCACCGCTCTCCTTTATAACAGCTTCCTTTGTAATATAAAATAAATAGTGTGGTTTTTTGTAATTATAAAAATCAGGTGTGGCAAGGCAAGAAGGAGCCTTGGCTGCTAAACTGCGTTGGTACCAAAACTAGGTTTAGATTACGACAGAACAGGTATGTTTACAGACAATAGTACTGTTCTCAGGTACAGTAAGAACTCTGGAACTCATGACTTATCTTCCTCCATTTTTTAGATAGGTATCCCCCAATAAGCAATGATGAAATGGAAGAAGCCAGAGAATGGAGCTAGAATCCTTCTGGGTCATATTTTCAGTAGGAAAATAGGGGAATTGCCATATGCCTACTATTTAAATCCAATCAACACAAACCACTGAAGAAGGGGAATTTCACCACCACACCCCACAAAGATGTGGTACCTGTGGATGTGTTGTAAGAAGTGAGGATCCTGAGACATAAGAAACCTTCTCATAATGTGACTGGATGATCCAATTGGAGCTGCCCAGTGCATATCCAGAACTGAGAGGAGAGACTTGCACTGCACCAAATAGCTCCTGTGGGAGGAAGGAAGAAGAAAACAATTGAATTCTGAATGAAGCTGCCCCAGAAAATAAATTTCCACATGTGCTGTTCTTAGCTCACCGAGCTGATCTCCATGTTCAGAGGCAATACATCCATGGAAAACAAATGGAAAATAACCAAGAACTAGAGAATGCTTAGGAATTATTATCTGCTTCTGGTTTTCCCAGAAACTTTGATTGGACTGATGTGAGAACAGGATTTTGGATTTACATCTTCTTACATCTGTATCTAAAGCTGTTTTCTCTTTCTTTTTAAAAGTAATTCAATGTTTATATTTAAGACAATGATATGGAAATTATTTAAAAGGAACACAGAAAAACAAACACAAATGTGAAAAGCATCAGCAAAAAATTATAATCAAAGTTCTTTTAAAAGACTGTACAAATAGAACATCTATGGCTGGCATCCACATGGATACATGAGAATGGATACACAGGCATAACTGAGGAGGTTTGTGTGGAACTGCTTCCCAGTTAAAACTGGAAGCTGTGGGAAAGGAGAAGGAATTTATGGATATGACAGCTTTTTATTTCATTCAGATTTTAATACAGTCAACAACAGATAACTATCCTATGATAAAATGGATACAGAAGGAAAGAAGACAGTGCAGATTCTTCCCCGAGTCCTTTTATTTTAGAGAAACTCACAATTTTCTGGGAATATCCCACCAGCTGGATCTTACTGAGTGCAGAGTTAACTTCCTGCATGTTGTAGCATCTTCTCCATGTTGCAACTTCAACAGCATCTTTCAGGGGTGCAGGAAGCATCCTGGATAGAAGCACATTGGATTAGGGCTTGCCAGCATAATAAAATTCTGGACTCATCTGCTAAAATTCCAGAAAATTATATCATGAGGAGAAAAAAAAGAATGGGCTGAAGACGAGCACTTTAATGAGCACCTTGATTCTCAACTTGTGCCAATTTACATCTAATAAAATGAGGTGAAAGTCTAGACTTTGTTACCTTTCTAGCATGCTCTATGTTTGAGGGATTGAAAGATTAGCCATTGTTTTCACTCCACTGCTCTCGTCTCAATGCCCTATAACAGTGATGGCGAACCTTTCAGAGACCAAGTGCCCAAACTGCAACCCAAAACCCACTTATGCATCATCGAGTGCTGGGTGGGTATGGCCCATTGGGTAGGCGTGGCTGCGGTGGTAACAGCAGACTAGGTGGGACTAAAAAGTTCAATCAATCAATTCCAACTTTGCAAGATCTTTTTTTTTCCCGCGAGAAGTTGAAATTGACTGATTGATTGGACCTTTTTTTTTTGTACACGGCAGCGGAGGCCTAAAGCGAAAAGGTTTTATAAAATCCAGCTGAAGGCCTAGACTGGGGCGACGGCGCGTGTGCCCACAGAGAGGGCTCTGAGTGCCGCCTCTGGCACCCGTGCCATAGGTTTGCCACCACTACCCTATAAGATGGAATAGCTTCCTCTCAGAGCAAGATTATGATTGATCCAAGGTCCACAGCTGAAGTGGACTGGCACTGCCAAACTCCTCCTCTGTTAGTATAAACCTACATTAATCTCATTGAAACCAATCCAGTTTCTGTATCCTTCATATCATAGAAAATCTTCAATCTTAATTAGCCCAAAGGTAATTTTTGAAATAAAATGGTCTGCTGCTGAATTATATTCCTGGCTATTTTTTTTTATTTTTTAAGCTTCCTGGTTGGCCTTTTGGAAACGGGTGTTTATGACTGGCCATGTGAACAGATAGATCTGCTCTCTTTGACAGCTGTTCCGCTTTCCAAAATCCTGAGGGGCCCACCAGGAAGACTGGTGATTTCTGTACTAACTAGCAGAAAACATCAGTCACACTTCGTAGGCATTTTACACAAAGAAACATGCCCCTGTTGGAGCTCTCAGTGCTTTCAACTGAGAACTCTTTCAACTATTTACAGTAATTTTCTACGCAACCTGACTGGAATAGGGTTTGGTGCATTGCTTTCAGTCTTTCTCAGACCATGCCAGGAAATAGTGCTGGGGGATTACAGTTCACTACCTTGATCAACAGCTTGTTCTAATCTGTCACCTTTGCTCTGCCACATTCACCTGCCAGATGGTTCCTTTAGAGAAATGGAAGAGAGAGAATAGAGCAGCATGGCCTTCTGCAACTGGGAGCCCTCCAACTTTTCTGAGCCTGTAAATCTTCCAATTCCTACCACCAGGAATTGTGGTCAAATTATCTAGAAGGTAATGACATCCACCAGACACCTGGAGGGGAACCACAATTCTGTGAATTTTGTTATTATTATGACTATTTTGCTCCCTGGAAAAGCTATTGCTTAAAAATACCAAGAAAGTGAGAGAAAAACATACAAGAAACAGCAAATGACAGCATTGTAGCACATAAAAAGAATGGCTATCTCCTGGGACATAAATCTCTTGCAGTACTAGGAAACCAGGCAGGAATGCAGTGAAAGCTGCCAAAGAGTGGAAGAAGAATAGGGTCCTTATTTTGTATATTAAACAGATACTAAATCAAAAGCTCATTCCAGCTCATTTCCAATGATTAATGGAAATTGGTCAAGTTTTGCCGATTTGCTTATTTAAAAGAACTTAATTTATTGGGGAAGCTGTTGGGTCAATGACCTTCTTCCTATAATTTAAGACACCAAAGGAAGCATTAATGATGGCTTCTGCCAAGATTGCCTATGCGCATAGTATGCAAACTGCCAGTCCAATATATCCCAACAGAAAGCAAGGAACATTTTGTCCTCTTCTGAGGAATAACAGAAACTTAAGGAATAGAATTTTTCAACAGAAAAAAAATTACATCTAGCATTCTAAGATGTTTACTGAAACACTAGCTCCTAAATTAATCTGCTATTTACAGAGAAATCTGGATTATTTCTCATCTGGAGATTTGAATGAAGCTCTTCACTGGCAGTGGGGTTACATAATTATAAATACTGTGCTGATAGCAAGAGACTTAGCCTTTTAATTCTTTTACTTCTAATTCCAGAGTATTTATGAATAAGTTAGAAATGGAGATCATTGGACAAATTCCAATATTTATTTCCATCCATTTCCTTTATGAAACGTATTCTCGACTTTATGACTTTGAATAACACTGATCCATAAGAGACCAGTCATCTGGTTTTATGAAGGAGAGAACTGTTTTTGAAGTGATTTTCTAAGTTATTTCTTTGCTGGAGCATTAAGGGGACTTTAGTTTTAGACATCAAATCATCTCAAGAAATAGATAACACTGGATAATTGCATATTATTCAGTATTTAATAATTAAGAAAGACTTTGAAGAATTTGAAAGCAGAGTGGATCTATGGAAAGCAACAAAGAACTAACACTGGATGGAACCAGCCGAGGAGCCAGCACCTCAGTCTGATGAAAGCTGGTAAATATGGAAATCATGAATAAAGGCAAAAAGTATGGAAATTGTTGAATAATAGACTGTGCATGAGTACAACAAGATCCAGGGACATTCTGAACAAATGGGGCTGTCTGATGGCTTCTGTTCTTTGCGATTGTGGTGACATGCAGACAACAACACATATGTATATCTGCCCTTTGTGTCCAAATCAGTGTACACTTGAGGACTTCATGGCAGCATGACAGAATGCAATTAATGTTGCTAGTTTCTGGGCAAAATCTGTTTAATTTGTACATATTTTAATCTTGTATTTTACATTTTAAATTTTATATAGTATGCCTTATTTTAATTGTCATGCTTCTGACATATCTGGTTAAGTGGAGTTTACAAATCAAGACCTTGGACAC